AATTCTAATATTAAAACTGACACTTTGCCACAGAAAATGGCCGTCACATGTCTCACGAATATCTTAAGAGACGTATTGTCACGCGAGAATTTGAGTCGAGAATCTTGTTTTAAACGAGTTTTCTAAGGAAGAATACAGATGACGACAGAAGAGATATTAAAACATAATTTATTATAAAATTAGTTATTTTCAATAAAAAGAAGTTTTCGAAACTTTAGTGGGAAAAATGCTTTTTATAAAAAATATAATAAATAAGAATTTAAGAAAAAAATTGTTTAGCTGTGTAAAATGTTTTTAGGTTCGTAAATATTAATTCCGAGATAAAAGTTGACAGCTTGTCGTAAAATATGGCATTACCACGACAGGTTGCCTACAGAAAGGAATAATAGTTTATTGTGTATCGAAATCTTATAAAGTAAACAAACAAATTTTTGTAACCGAACATTTTTAATAATATCAGTTTTGATACAATAATAAAAAAATTGTTAAATTATATTAATAGTAATTTTTTAATTTATACACTATTTTTAATTATTTAGAAAAATTGTTAACACTTTATTGTGAAAAATATTCAAATTTAAAAAATTATTTGTAAGGAAATTTTTTAGAAATTTTTAAAAATATTAATTAAAAAATTAATAATAAGAATAATAATTAATATTAATAATTAATTCATTTTTAATAATATAACATTCAAAATTTTTGCTTCTAAAAGAATTTTTTATTGTATAATAGTAATACTCCTTTCTATAGGCAACCTATAGCGATACGTCCAAATTCCAGGACAAACTGTCAACTTTTATAGCGGAAATAATATTGACGCTTGTAAAAACACCGAACCTTAATAAACAAATTTTTTTCATAAAGCTTTATTTACTATAGATTTTTGGAAAAGAGTTATGTTTTTGATAATGTGTCTGGATTTTGTAAACAAAAATTATTAAACACTTTCCCCTTTTTTTCTAAAAATTTTCACTTTGATCATTTAAAACAAAAATCTAGACATTTTATCGAAAGAAGGTCTCTTTATCAAAAAACTATAATCAATATGGAATTCAGTAAAAATTGGTTTGGTAGGATTCGATGTTTTCGCTAACGTCAATATTATTTCCGTGATAAAAATTAACAGCTTGTCATAGAAAATAGACTTTACGCAACAGGTTGCCTATATAGAGGGATACTACTATATTAGTGTTAGAAATTATTTTAGCATCAAAAATAATTAACTTCTTTTTTTGAAAAATTTGTAATACAAAAAAATAACACGTTTATGTTCTTGTACAAAAACATTGGTTAAAAATGTTTTTGAAAAAAATTTGAAATTTTGATAAGCTATAATTACTAAGACTTTTCACTTATGCATGCTAAAAATTATTGCGTACCTGTAAAGGCTTAATAAAACTACTGCGCAGCCTTTAAAGTTTTTAATTTTTAATTTAAAATACATAAATGAACATGTACAAGAACATGTTCTACATCTGGTACAAGAAAATGTACATGAAATCTGCACAAAAAAATATGTACAAGAACATGTAGATTTTCTTTTATAAGTATATTTTCTTGTCCAGGATCTTGTACAAGTTCTGGTACAAGAACATGTTTCAATTCCGGATGCTGAACTGGTTCAAGAACATTACTTGAACATGTACAAGAAAATGTACAAGTTCATTAATGAACATGAACACTCGTACTACTCATGAAATCGAGGGTTCCGTACACACAGCAATCTTATATTTGATATAAAAGCCAGTTATGTAAAATAATAAAATATAAAATAATATAAAAGATATAAAATTTAAAAAATCAATTATCTAAAAATTTTTTTTATTTTTATTATTTTTTAATAGTAATTATTATTATTTTACATTCAATTATTAAATTAAAATAATAAATTGGTCAGTTCAATAGAGGCTTGTCGAATTCGGGAGAATGACAACATAGCTCCAAGTCGTATTTCTCGCTAAACGGGATTCATCAAAGCTCTTCCTGAATTCAGTCCAATTCACGTCAATCCTTTTTCGTTTACTGGACAACTCAAATCAATAAAAAAGGGCCAATTTTAAGTAAACGTTTCTCAAAAACTGTTTACTTTGTTGCTTCGGGCCTTGTTGCATTCAATTACAGATATAGTCAATCAATGCACGAAGAAAATTTGTTATATATTTGTTATATAGGAATTGAAACAGTACATCATGTTGACCTTACACCTAATACACGTAACACATTTTTATTTTACAACTAATTTTAAGACTACATATGACAAAATTAGGAAGCAAACTTATTTTTTTAAGTAATTAATTCATTTTTTATGAAAATTTTATATAAAATTTATTTGTGATTTAAATAGAAACAAATTAATGAAAAAAAAATTATTTTGTTAAATAAATTATTTTCCCTAAAATTTAATTTAAAAATATGATTTAGTTTAAAAATACATTTGAGCAAAATTCAATTTTTTGATTACTTCACCTCTAATAATAGTTAATGAATTAAAATAATTTTTCTTTATGTTTTCTGAAAAATTGAAAAAAGATTGTGCAATAATAATAATATATAATTATAGAATATATATATATATATATAGGCGATTCCACGTGAGATTTACATATGACATTTTAAATTCGGTAAATATATTTTTTTTCGATCTTTATAGAAAAAAAGGTTGACGTATTTTTTTTATTTTTTTATAAGTGCTCAAATTTTCGAGTTATGAATTTTTAAAAATCTGATTTTTTCGAGTTTTTTTAAAATACAGTTAATTTTAATGACATCTATCTCTAAAAGCATTGAATTTAGGACTTATGACCATCCAAAATACACATTTTTTGCTTTCAAAAAAAAATAAATAAAAAAAATAAAAAGGAACGAACTTAAAAAAAAAATTCGAAAAAATGTTTAATTTTAAAAAAAGGGTCAAAATTTGAATATTTTAAAAATTTTTTTGCACCAATTGAAAGAGCAAGAAAAAACCTTTCGAAAACATACAGGACAAATTTTTCTTCTTCTTTCTGTTTACTACGAGAGCTTTTTTTAAATAATTATTAATTATACAGTAAAAAATAGATCGATTTTTTCAGCGAAAATCGAGTTTTTGAGTTTCAAGTGCTGCGAAAAATAAAAAAAAACCTCTCGAAAAACATCTCCTTTAACAAAAAAATGTTTTTTTTATTTAGATGATTCTGTTGCGAGTGACGTTGAACACCGCAAATCCATTTTTTACGAGGCGCCTGAAAAGATTTACTGTCACTCGTTGAATATGCAATATTTTTCAATGAGAATTTACGAAAATATACTTCAAATATTGTATTAATATGTGGAAGTTAAGTTAATAAAGTAACACACTTTATATCACCGAAAAAAATTATTTAAAAAATGCCTTTTTTACACCGAATTAACCATACCCCCACCCCCTTAAAATATAAAAGCATTGTTAAGTTTTAGGGTTTCGTGGCCCAGGGCCGAAAGCCTTATTGGCGATTCAAACAGCTATACTAGCGCCACAGTTGAACTAACGTAAGCGTGACTCGCTTTGTATCACTCAATGTGTTCTAAATTATTTTTCTTTATTTAACGCTTAAAAATTATTTTACAAACGGAATAAAAATATCAGAATAATTAAATAATTTGAAATAAACTGTCAAAACAGAGACTGCTTCAGAGCGAGTCACGCTTACGTTAGTTCAACTGTGGCGCTAGTGTAGCTGTTTGAGGGGATTCCACACTTCCCTCGAACGACCACGTCGGACCGACTTTTCGTTCCGAGAATAGCATGTCGCTCGCAATGAATGCAGGGGTGCCAACTTTGGTTAAGAGATCTATTTTGTGCGATGAATATTTATTTTTACAAGAGTGTATACAGTATAATGGCAATTGTATATTAAACAAAAATAATGACAGTGTTTTACGTCAAAATTAAAGGTGAGTATAATATTAATACTATTTATATTGTGACGAAGTAAATTCATCACAATGTAAGTTTGACTGGGGATGAGTTTCGCGCGTAATGGGGTTTGAGGGATGAGGCAGAGCAGGCGTCCGGGACGTGGCGCCATCGCGGCGGCCACCTACGGAACTAGACGGAGACGAAGGGATCGAGAGAGGAGAATCAATAGATTTTGTCAATGGACGCGTACAGAGGTACTGTGGTCTTCGTTTTTGTTTGAGTTTTTGTAGAGTGTATTGAGTTGTGTAGAGAATAGAGTGTGTAGAAAAGGAGTCGAACAGAGTTCGACTCATTCGAAATAAAGAAGTAAATACAGAGTGTGAAAGTGTATATTTAATCAGCCCTTTTCCCGACACCGGCGAGTTTTCACCGACCACGAGGACCTGCCGTGAGGAAGCTGTGTGCTGATTTTGTCGTCGTGGGTAAGTCCAATTTTGGTTGTGTCGTGTCTCAAGGGTCGTGTCCCTTTTAACGACTTTTGTTCTTGACAGAATCTCCTCTGAGAGATTATTTGATTGATTTTGAGTTTTGGGGTTATCTTGTGATTTTTCTGGTTTGCCAATTCCATTCAAAAATTGGCTGGCGTCTAACAATTATCACGTTGGGTTTTCTTTTGTAACTTAAAAAGGGATTGTTAATTAATACATTAAATTAATTCAATAATTTCGTTATAATATATAATATGTTAACTGAATGCATTATTAAAATCAAGTGGAATTTATTTTGTAAATAAAAACTTGTGTGTTACATGGGAACCATTATTATTAGTATTTATTAATTGCAGAATTATGTATTATTAAATGCATTACATATTATGTTCGATATGATGTGTTAAAATGTCTTTAGTTTAAATTCATAGCTGGTTTAGTTAATTGTGAACAATCGTGTCAATATCTAATATTCTTTTATCCCGTCCGTCGTTATAGGCTAAGTAGATTTTCTCACCCAACGTACGTCTGAATGTTATCCTCAAGTAGTTACAGCGTGCTTATTTTTGATTAAGACTATAATAATGTCGATTATTTGTGTTTTGATGATATGTTTATCTTTCATTCAGTTGTGGAATGCATATTTACAATTGCAAAAAAAAGGAATGTTTATCGAAGATGGTGGGTTAAACCTCATCTTCGGGAAAATGTTAGAAGGCGGTATGGTGCATTTGCAACTCTATTTTCTTATTTTAAAGAATATGACGAAGAAGAATATTACAAACTGTTACACGTGACTGTTGACCAATTTAATGATTTGCACAAACTATTAAAATCACGTTTGACAAAAAGTAATATTCGCCGGAGATCAATACCATCGGAAATTCGTTTGGCAATGACATTGCAGTAAGTATTATAATTTTTTATTATTATATTATTTTTTAGTATTTTTAATCTATATTAATAAGATCAGACTTTTGTCTGTACATTGCTCAGATCTTGGAAATTCATATTTAATTTTTCATTTCAAGTAGTAAGAATTCCAAAAATTATGTGAAAAAAAATTATGTATGTGTGTATGTATGTATGTCTGTACGCAATATTTTGTCCGGGCATCACTTAAAAACGGCTGAACGGATTCAAGTGAAATTTGGCTGGCTGTTAGGTATTTTCGTAACTTAAATTTATAGCCATAGCCCATCAAAAAATATTAATATGGGCGAAAGTTATGGCACTTTTTCAAAAAATCGAAAAATCCAAAATTTTTAAATTTTTTCCTTTTTTGACAGATTACTGTTAAACGTTTTGCATGCAAATTTTTGAGGTTTACAAATCACATATTTAGAATTAGAATTGAAAAATAACCAGAAAATTTAAAATTGCTAAAAAAATTTTTTTTCAAAAATTTAAATATTTTTTACTTTTATCATACTGTTGTTGCTAAACCCAGGCTAAACCGTCTGTTGAAAGTTTTTGAGGTCATTTAATCTTATTTCAGCATTAAAATTAAAAAATATTTAAAGGGGTCAAGAAATTTGGAAAATATAAAATTTTAATATTTTTTATTTTTCTTTTAACTTTGTTAAAATTTTTGTAGCTAGATTTTTGAGGTCAATAAATCAAATTTTAACATTAGAATTTAGAAAAATAATTGAAAGTTTTAAAGTTGCAAAAATTAATAAAAACAAATTTTCTAATCTTGAAATTTATAAAATTGGTTAATTTTTATTTCTATCGAAAATTATTTTAAGTTTTACAAAATCACTTAAAAATTCGTATTTTATAAATTTTGATTCAACTTTTCGCTTATTTGAAAGTGATTAAATTTTAAACAGGAAGTTGAAATAAAATTTGTTTTTAAATGTTGATCTACTTCTAACCAGTTATTTTGTTACATCGTATCATAACCGGGATATTACAAAAAAATGAAACTTTTTAAGATACAAAATATAAAAAATTAATAATGGTAATAAATTGAACTTAAATTTGGTTCAAGGGTAATTCTAGGGTCTTTGAATTAAAATTGGTGGTCAAAATGAAATTGCTCAGTGACTGAAAATGTCGAATTAAAATATTGGAGGGTCAAATAATCTTAAAATTAATATTGTATAATTAATTTTATTTTTCTTTGGTACTGCACTGAAAGAAATTCGGGTGAGCAGACGTCTCAGCGTTGAGACCGCTGAGTTCCCTTACTCAAAGTATGACTGAGATTCCGTTTAGGGGTGCTCAGAGCTACCGTACGGGTGAGCAACTGTCTTATAGACAAGTATGGCTGCACAACCACTTTTTAGGAACTATACCTCACGGACTGTAACGTTAACCTGACGGCACTCGCGCCGTAAAAAGTCCTACGTGCCAACAATTTAAACAATTGAAAGTTGAATTTAAATAAAAATTATAATTTTATGTTATTAAGAAATGTTTTTTAATTTTTTTAGTTAAAGTTTCTAGTAAATAGAATTTCCCTGCTAAAAATAAAATCAGAAATCAGTCTCAAAACGTCAGAAATCCTGACGTTTTGAGACTATTTTGATGTTCTGTGATGCTGCTGACTAATTCTGACTTAAATAGTTTTTATGGGCCTGACGTTTTCTAAAAAGTGACGATTTCTCACTACGTTTTATTTTTTTTGTAAAAAGGGTTCCAAGAGAGGTACCAAGGCCACTCAAACCCACCATATAACTCTATTATATTATATATTCCCTTTTTCCAACAGAAGGGTCCTTTCGAGGGTCCATCAGGTTTTATGACTTTTTAATGCAAAATAAAAAATTATTTAAATTTAAATAAATATTTTTTTAAATGTTATATTTGTAATTTATAGATTTTAACGATTCCAATGATATAAAACATTATGTAAAAACTCTAAAATTACATAATGATTATACAATAAATACTCCATTAATTAAAATTAATTCTCAATAATTTAAAAATATTTGCAAAAAATTTTATATCGTTGTAATTGTATTAACATGTACATTACGAATATAATATTTAAAAATCATTTTTTTCAAATGCAACAATTTTTAATTTTGCAATGAAAAGCCATAAAACCATAAAAGATCCTTCTGGCCTATACTTTTCTTTTTGTCCTTTTCTAACGTACATATAATATATATGGAATCACGTTTGTAAGACAAGGACAGAAAAGGGAAGGCGTCAATGACTACGACTATACTTTTAAAGTCCCTACTTCAAATTTGTATTTATTATTTTACAGTAAGCTAGTTTCCTTACATTTAGTTATAAGAAAGCAACATATGTTGAAAACCTATTCTTACCATTGTGTTAACTCTATATATATATATATATATATATATATATATATATTTGAAAAAAATTAGAAATCGCTGGCTATTTCACATAAAAGTTTATTTTTTTACAACTAGATGAGCAAAAACATTCTGGTCTCTTGTAAAATAGAATATATGAATTGATCGCTCAATCAATCTCTGAGCGAATTTGATCCAGTTTTCACTAAATATAAATTTGATTTGAACCAAATATTACATCTAATTATAGTGCAGTATGCTAAAAAGAGAAATTAAAATTAGTAATTATTTAGTTGATTTGTGGAAGAATTATGTTAAATTGAATTTTAATAATATAGTAATTAATATATGCATATTAATTAATTCTTATCATTATAATTAATTATAATAGTAATGAATGTGCTAAAACGTGAGCGAAAAACCTGATAAAATTCGCTCAGAGTTTACTTGAGACAATCCGACAGTATCTTATTATTCTAGACTATTTTATTTGTATATTACACATATTCTTTTAAGTTCGAATTCAAATAATATTTACATACGAATTTTTTGTTTAATTAAATATTTGCTGAAGCAAATTTTATTAATTGAATACATTAATATATGATAATTGGACTACAAATGTTTTTTGATCAATATAACAATATACCTATTTTAACTTTACTTGTTAATTTTTAAAAATTATAAAATTTTTTTAAAATAATAATAATAATTATCAACAAAATATGTTGATAAAATTGAAAAAAAGTAATAAGATCTTCTATTTTCATAAAACCGTATTCTATTTTTAAGATCTCAGTTAGGTTAGTTTAGCTCAGGGGTTAGGTATTCGGTTTGCGTTCGTTAGGTTGTGAGTTCGATTCCCTGCGTTTGCGAGATTTTCTTCGATAGGAGTAAATAAATATAATAAATTGTAAAAATAATAATTAAGAATGTGTAACGTAAAGATAAAAAAATGTTGTACGATAATTTATTTTTTTAATGATAAAATGTTGATTTTTTTTAATTTTTAAATATTTGTAGTCAGAATTCATGAAAAGTAAGTCAGGAATCTTCAAAACTATTTTACAGAAAGAAATGTCATTTAACATCACAAATAGTCACAGGGTTTAATGATTTATGGTATGGCCAAAAAAAGGGTCTCCGACCCTCATAAAAAATCTGACTACTATTGACGATTCTTTGACTAAACCTCACTTATTGTGGTGTTCTGTGACTGCAATCGTAACAAAAACAGTCTCAAAACGTCAGAGATCCTGACTAATTTTTTGACGTTTTGTGATTTTATTTTTAGCAGGGTTACAATTTAATTTAACTGTTTCATATAAAATACAAAAAATGTGTTAATTACCCCTTAAGAAAAAGTAATTTATTATAATAAACTTCAAATTATAATAAATATACAAAAACCAAAGCCATCTAAATATTTCTTTTGTTTAAATTTCGTCCATTTAAATGTTAAAAAATAATTAAAACACTTAAAAATTTCAACAATTATCAATAATAATTTCAGGTATATATATATATAAAAAAAGGGGATCGAGATGTTTATATTTCAACTGTCACTTTATTCTCTAGTACATTTTTGTTTATTACAAAGAAACATATATAATTTATAACATATAATCTGTTGCGATGAAATGTGTATTGTTTTGGAAGACATATAAACAAGGCGGAGCTTTAGGCAAATCATTTTGGTCAATCAATTTAAACTTATTGTAGAATGGGTTAACAATATATGCATGGTAGTGTTCATCGAATGTTATTTCTTCAAAGATTTGAATCTTAAACAAAATCTTATTATAAACTCTGACAATTTCGACAATTTTTCCAAATTCCTTTTCAATACTTTCTAAATTACTTACAACAAAATTTCCTATTTTGTAAGAAATGTTACAAATTTTTACTTCTTTATAACATTCATCTGTAGAGTCATTATTCAATTGAGGACCTAAAACAACATCTGTTTTGCAATTGAAATCATGAAGCATTGAGCAAAATTGCAACATTTGTTTCGTTGCAATTGTGATAAGCAGATTTTTTTTGTTGTTTGTTACCTGAGCATTTGCCTTTATCTCTCTATGACGAGACTCAAATCGCATGCCCCAAAAATTAATGCATGGTCCATTTTCTAATAATATACGAGGATAATGGATTAAATTGTGAAATTTGGGTTTTAGTGGACCGAATAGTTTTACATATAATTTATTATGTTCTTTTATCAGCAGTTTCAAATGTTTTGAATCACAAGAAATGAGACGTGGTGAAGAAAGAATATCTATAATTTTCCTCAGGAATTTATACAATTGCCAACATTGATCATTTTTATTAGAAATCAAATCACCAATAATAAGACCAAAGAACCTTACGAAGGTCAGCATTTCAGATGCAGACATTTTCAGATTAGATTTACTGATTAATCTATTATGAGAAATTTCCGAGGGTTTATTTGTACAAGCATTGAATGGAAAACTATTTATCCGAGTGTTCAATGTCTCTAAAGTAAAATATTGTTTAGTGACTATAAATTCATATATTATTGACGTCATAACATAGGTGCATACACCTTCTAGTATGTCATGCATGAAATCAAGGCATAAGTTTTCAGTTAAATGAAAATTACTTACTTCA